CTGCGGCATGGTATTTCAGTGAGCTAGCACTATAACACCAGCTTAAGTCTGGGCTAGTACAAGCAGCTGCACATAGACATACACACGCATGTACGTCGTCATATGAGCGAAATATTCTCAATTACGACGTTAAACCATATGTCACCTCACCTCACCTCACCTCACCTCACCTCACCTCACCTCACCTCACCTCACCTCACCTCACCTCACCTCACCTCACCTCACCTCACCTCACCTCACCTCACCTCACCTCATTCGTTTGTTGTTTGTATGGTGTGTTTTATTCGTTCGATATTCCTGTTGAAATATGCCACACTTTGTTGACAACTAAATAGGCTCCATTACATGTAATAGCAATCATCTATGAACAGCAACAAAACCCACGTAATTAAGAATATTCACTGCTGTTGGATGGTACGTACTGGTGTTGGATGGTACGTACTGGTGTTGGATGGGACGTACTGGTGTTGGATGGTACATACTTGATACTTATGTACTAAAACATTTCCGACCTGTCTCCAACCTTAACTTCATCTCTAAGTTGATTGAAAGAGCAGTTAACATCAGACTGTCATCACACCTGACTCGGAATCGACTATTCGACCAGTTCCAGTCCGCCTACCGACACAGACACAGCACAGAAACAGTTCTCCCGAGGGTGCTCAATGACCTCACATGCTCAGTAGACAGTGGCAATGTTGGATCACTTGTATTGCTAGACTTGAGTGCAGCATTCGACACGATTGATCACAGCATCCTCCTCAAGCTTCTTGAATACCGTTTGGCATTGGGATGGTTTTCATCATATCTGACAGGACGCACTCAGAGAGTCTTGATAAAGCAGTCCTCATCCACAACAGCAGATCTCACATGTGGAGTTCCGCAGGGATCTGCTCTGGGGCCCATCCTCTTCCTCCTTTACATGACATCCTTGACCGACATATCCGACAAGTATGACACTCCTCATCATTCGTTTGCAGACGATACTCAGCTGGTAGACGCTTTTGCTCTGAATCAGATTCACCATTCCCTAGAGAAGACAGCTATCTGCACAAAGTCCATCAAATCCTGGATGTCATCTATGATGCTCAAAATGAACGATGATATGACAGAAGCTATGCTTGTCGCCAATAAACATCGTCTGAACAAAATCACGACTGAGAAAATCACAATAGTTGATGCAGAAATTACTCTAGCTCCATCCGTGAAAGATCTTGGAGTGTTCATAGACCAGGACCTATCACTTGATGCTCAGATCAACCATCTTTCAAGAATCTGCTTCTTCCACCTGAGAGCTATCAGTAACATTCGTCATAATTTAACAACAGATGCAGCCCATTCTCTCGTCAGGTCCCTCGTTCTATCTAGACTGGACTATTCAAACAGCATTCTGTTTGGACTCAGCTCTGCACACTTGACAAAACTCCAGAAAATCCAAAACGTTGCAGCCCGCATTGTATCCCTAACATCTAAAAGATCTCACATAACCCCTGTCCTAAAGTCTCTTTACTGGTTGCCCATCCAAGCCAGAATCGAATTCAAGATCTTGACCATTGTGTTCCAATGTCTACATGACCTAGCGCCTCAGTACCTCTCTGAACTCATCTCAGTGTACACACCACCACGACAGCTGAGATCACACCGACAGTTCCTCCTAACAACACCCCCTGTCCATCTCAAGAACTATGGTCACAGATGATTCAGCTATGCTGCTCCTTCACTGTGGAACAGACTTCCCATAACCATCAAAACAGCAAAATCTCTTGACTTATTCAAATCTTCATTGAAGACCCATCTTTTCAGGAAATATAACGAATGACTTGTACTTGTATTATTATTACTGGTGTTGGATGGTACGTACTGCTGTTGGATGGTACGTACTGCTGTTGGATGGTACGTACTGCTGTTGGATGGTACGTACTTCTGTTGGATGGTACGTACTGCTGTTGATGATAACCCCCTGCGACCTCTCCTCATCGTCTCATCATGCTGATTGCCGGCATGCACAAATTCATGTCTTCCACGTCAGCATTGTCGTAAGGGCGATCCGAATGTGCTTGACTTCAACTTCGTCTGCTGACAACAGAAGTTTTCGAAACTCAGTATGTTATGATCCCAAATCTGTGTCTTTTTTAGCCCGGATCAACAAGAGAACAAGATTGTCTTCATGGATGGTTGAAATTGCGTGTCGTGGACAGTATCAAGCAAATGGCAGTTACGTCAAATGCCGAGCCTACCTTCCTTAGCCTCATTTCTATGTGTTCATTGTTCATTGACATGAGCTTGTGAGCCTTTGCTGCAAAAACATATTGCTGGGTGGATAATGGCCATTGCAAAGGATAAAAAGCCCACCACATCGTGTGTTTTGATCTTTAAGCAAAAATACGGCGCTGTTAAAGTGCAGTTGACCATTCTAAAATGTTCTGAACATCACAAAAGGTCATAGTTTATTATACGAATACAAGAGGTACCCATTTTTTACCTGCCTCTTTTCAACCGTGTTTTGTCCCTTCTGTTCAAGACACCACGCTTTAACAGTTTCTATTGTGTTATATGTACTGATGGATTAATGTTTGTGGCTTAACGCCGCACTCAGCAACATTCCATCTATACGGCGATAGTCTGTAAATAATCGATACTGGACTAACCAATCAAGTGATCAACAGCATGAGCATCGATTTACACAATTGGGACACGATGACATGTGTCAACCAAGTCAGCGAGTGTGACGACCCCATCTCGTTTGTCGCCTCCTACGACAATGACGGATTGCTGAAGACCAGTTCTAACCCAGATCTTCACGGGTTACTGGGGAGCTATATTGAATATTGCTTCAGGATGAAAATTCAAACTGCAGAAGACAACAGAAACGTACATTAGATTTTATTTGCATTCCAACTAACAAATTCAATTATATATTAATAAGTTACATAATTAGTGAAATTGCCGAGTCGGAACTCCAAGTGTACATCTATGCGGTATTATTATTTTTGTTAGTTTGACATAAAACAGTTTTTTTAAACAAACCATGTGAAACATTTCCCACTAAATGTAAATACAAAGTGTGGATATGCAACGTTTTCACAGCAATAAGGCTTATGGCACTATATATTCTTCCACCTAATGCCAACATGACAGGCAGCCATTTACTCTCCGGGCGGCAACAGTCTTATAGTTGTAGTGTCAACGTCAACAATTTCACCATTAAAGCTGTTTGTAAAGCGGGCCATTTAGTCGCTGGTATGTGAGCTGTGGCATTGAGCGCCTCTGGGGAAAAAAACGGAACATCGATTCCAGTAACGCATCAATAAGGTGCTGCGTGTCACAGCTGGATTGACACTGTTGAACACCAGTTTGGGAGAAAATATAAAACTTGCTCATAAACACTCAGATACACAGAAAAGTAAACTTTCAGCAGCACTTACATTTGATATTTTCGTCCTCGTTGGCAACAGTAAATCAAATTCAGCTCAGTCAGGGCTCGTCTGCTCATCTCACTGATACAACCTACATTCTCCAAACACTGAGTGCTATTGAAACATATTGTTTGTCACTCATGTGTGTCCACTCATACAATCTTCAGTCAGCTATAAGATCTCCGGGAGCACCGGCATCCAACAAAGGCGAGTATTCATGAGGTGAAGTTGACACACCTTGACACCTTACCTTCCTTTGCTATGAAACGAGAAACAACAAACTCTCTGCAAAGCATGATGGAAGTGTAGGAATGAGCCTGTGTAGCCTAATGGCACCACTGAGCGACGTGTTCAGACAGATCAGAAAAGAAGGGTTTGCTGGTGATACCAACTGATTTTTTCTCTTGAATTCAATTATGCCTTCGACACTCCACCAAGTGACCGAGAAATTCATCGATCTCTTCATTATCACCGCCTCATTTTGTCGCTCAGATGGAGCCTGGCTTAGTAATGGACTGATTACTAGCCGGATGTCTCTGGATCAAGATGGCCCCATAGACCGGAAGTAGTGAATGCAGTCACCTGCATTCTCGTCACGTGACCAGTGACTTATGTATGAAGGAGGGAGCGTGAAATATGACGTGGTGTTATTGGTCCACATGATACCAGGAGACTAATCTTCAATGGGCACCTTGAATCTGTTTTCTTTATCAAGCAATTCATATATCCCGCTGATAATTACTATATAATACCAGGACATTTGATTGCCATTTCCATTGCATTTATGTTTCCATAAATTGAAGGCCAAGACTAAATTCAGAAATAGCGTATACACTTCAAAAATCCATATTTATCTGTATGACAATAGTGCTAGATCAACTGAACAAATATATATATAGACACTGGGACATACTTAGGCATCAATAAGATGAAAGGGATGTATTTGTGTCTTCCTTATGACCATAGTTGATTATACAGTAGTGAGTGAGTGAGTAGTTTTACGCCGCACTCAGCAATATTCCAGCTATATGGCGGCGTTGTACAGTAGTCGCTCTTGAAAGATGATTGATGTATGACGTGAAATTTGCATGTGTACGATTTTCATTTTCAAACAAAAGCACCGGCTGGAAACAAACATTAAGAACTGTGTGATTCAAGATGATTGTCAAAATTAATGGTCTGCAGTGATTTATCGACATTCCTGAAAACCGCAAAATCAAAAATCACACCGGAAGTCATGCTTTTAAATATTTACTCATTAATGACCAGTGATCTCTGATATGTCCTGACCGGGCCCAGGCCCCGATTTCTCGAAACAAACTTAAGTTTTTACTCAAATTACAAACTGAGTTTGAGATTTTGACTCAGCTGAGTTTCTTACTCAGTTGCGTTTCTCAAAACAAACTCAGTCAAAACTCAGCTGAGTTTATAACTCAGAATTTGAGATCGATCTGAGATTATTTTTTATACGTGGTCGAAGCGGCCATGGCGCGGAAATCAACTTCCGTTTCTAATGTAAACACGGTAGAAGTCGTCTGCTAGCGAAGTTGTCTACCGATAGGAAAACGGCAAATAATGTTGAGAATGACTACCAGCAGGATGGAACCGAAACGTAGGCCGAACTGGACCGAGGAGGAGCGGCTTACGTTAGTTGATGAGGTGCGGAGGAGGGAGGAACGGTTGTTCGGCAAATTTAGGGGTGTGGAGGGAAGAGGGGCGGCGATGAAGGAAGAGAGGCATGGGAAGAGGCAATGGCGGCGCTAAATGCGTAAGTTACTTTTCGTTGAATGCACCCGTAACTAAATTCCCATGAAAAGAATATGATAAATATAACCATACAAAACTTAATCGTGCATGGATGTATCTGACACCTGTGCAAAAACTGAAGGTGAAAAACTAGGTCAGCAGAGTGCCGAATTAGAGTTACCTGCCCCGTACATTGTGACTGCAAGCTTTTGGCCCACGTTAATATTGGGTCACGTTACTCAAAGTTTTGCAGATTTGTGCTTATTCCTAATGTGTTTTTTTTGTCTGGTAAATAATACCACAGTATAGATTTGTAAAAAATCTACTGTGAAAAGTAGTTGTACCAAATTCATAAGCATGAAATATTTTTTACGAATCCAGACTGTTGTATCGACGAGTGGGTGTGACCATGCAGTACCGTGCCAACATGTATATACATGTATAATCAGTCTCACGTTTGTTTTTACAATAGGAAATCGAGTCAAATTAAACGGACGGTAGAGGAAGGGAAGAAACAGTATGCGAACTTGAAGCAAAGAGGTATATCATTATACATTTTCTTTATGAAGTTGCTTAGATATTTAAATAAACATTTTCAAGCCTATTTGATGATTATAATGACATTAATGTCACAAATTAATTCTGTAAGAAATATTTTTTTATATATGTAATGTAAACCGAAATGATTAAAATTTAATATCTTTATCAATACCTTGCAAAATATTTTCAGCAAAAGAAAAGAATGATGCCATCCGTCGACCCAAAACAGGAGGAGGGCCCAAACCAGCTTCCCCAACAATGCCAGAAGCTGCCATCCTGGAGACTATGGGGGGAAGGGCAACTCTGAGTGGTCTAGCAGGAGGCATAGACACTGAAGGTATAACTTATTTCAACTGACTTTGGGCTATGAAAGTGGTATTTGCTGCATTTTGTGTAGTTTTAACAACACATAAACACATAACTCAAAATAGAGCAATAATTTGTATTTCTTAATTGCATTGATTCACATAAAATATTCATAAAGAGTGTATGAAAATAACACAAAAACATCACTAAATCTACATATTACATGAAGAAACATTGTTCCTAATTTCACATTATTCAACAGTTAAAAACTGCAATTTTCCCTCAAATATGACTATATGTGACCAGGCAATGTTACTATTGGAACAGAACACTTTCTTGACCAAAGTTTTTTTCATACTTTAGCAGCACAAAAAACTAAAAATATAAGCCAGTTTGTATATTAACAAGGTGTTATTTGGAAACATAAAACAGTAGCAATGCTTTATTTAGCAATTTAGCTTCATCACATTTTCCTACTGTAAATGCCATTTCATCATAATATTAATAGTAGTAATAATAATGTTCATTTATATGTAGCTCCAAACTCCACATAAGGTATGCCCATAACGCTGACAATGAATAGCACAGCACACCTCAGATAAGTGCATTCAAAAATACTGTTTCACTTTCCTCATGAATGTAATTTCAGATTTTGATGTAATTCCTTGTGTTTCGGAGGAAGAACCAAGTGTGTCCATGGACTTCACTGATACTAATGAGCATGGTTTGTCCACACTTATATACCATTCTTATACTTTATCCATTAAAATAAACTGTCAAATGTGGGACACATTTTTATCGTACCATTACATGTTAATGTACTAAAAGATAATTGTCTCTTTAACCATGACATACTGACCAATCAGACATTGCAATAATAATAAAATGGGACTATTCATCTCCCAATAACTACTGTATTATCTGACAAACAGATGACTATTTACATAAAAAAATATATATTTGACTTATTGTCTCATTTCTAAATTTATATTGTGATTTATATGATTATAATCTGGCATAACTGATATGCTGTTCTATAGCAATTCTTTACAATAATAACTGTTGACAATTATTTATATTACAGTTCTTCAAAGTGCAATAAATTTCCTTGTCATGGAGGACGGAATACTGCAGATCCCAACTATCACCGCTGGTACTCCAAAATCAACCACTGTGACCACTACTACTACTGCTACTCCTATTGCAACTACATCTACATCTACAGCTACAACTGCAACAGCAAATGCCACTAACAATTCCAATCTTCCGCCAAAAAAGAAGCTAAAGCTGCAACAGCAGGAAATACTAACCCTACAGGCAGAGGAATCCAAATTTAAATGTGAAATTGTTAAATTAAAGAAGAAGCAGAATTTTTTCAGGGCAAAGGTAGCATTGATTAAATTAGAACAGGAAAAGCTGAAATTAGAAATGGAAATACTAAGAAAACAGAACCGTATTAGTGAAGAATAATTGTTAGGGGTGCCAAAAATTAAACATACAACTTTATGGATGAAATTTTCTCTTTACTGCATAGAATGATGTTTTGATGTAGTTATCTTGCTAAAAAATGACTCATATTCAGACACACGTAATTGTTAAGCAAGGGAGATAATCTGTCTTAAGTTATTTTCTGATAATGTACATTTCTATTCATTACTTGACCAAATATGTTAAACACAGAATGTTCTCATGAGATATATTGTTTAAGCTGTAATGGAATATCTAACTAAAAACACTGCTGACACAAGTGTTTTTGAACATTGTTACCAGTCAGTCATCAGCTATATGGACACTGACATTTTGATTGGTCTCAATATCAACCTGTTCAACATCTATTATATCTTTTCTATCAATGCCAATATTATGTAGAATGACACAAGCAGTTACTATTTTGCAGGCATTTTGAGGTGTTGTCCTTAATCCACTATGTAAACAAGAAAATCTCCTTTTCAAAATTCCAAAACTCTGCTCAATCAAAACTCTGGTTCTACTGTGACTTCTGTTATATTTCTCTTCAGCATGGGATGATGTGGTTAGGAATGGTGTCATCAAGTAGGACTTGCATGGATATCCTGAGTCTCCCAACAGTAATCCCTTGTAGGTACCTATAACATATAACAAATCACAATCTGTGTGGATGGTTCTGTTGACATTCCTATGTAAATTTGCAAACATGAAATATATGAAAATAAAAAAAGATATCCTACGGCTATTAATATTTCCTTCTGAAGTAAGAGAGAAGTGAGTTTACAATCTTTAACATTGTACTTAAACTGTGGCCAGCTTAGTCTATCAGTGTAAAAATTGAAATGGCCGAGGGCTGGAGCAAAGAGTGTTGTGAGCATGCAGTGTTATTATTACTGTAGGTAAGACTGAGAGTAAAGCTTAGTATTTAGAGCTGGAAGAATAAAATTAAGTAAAAATAGTGGTGGTCCGATTAATTGAAATAATCAAATATTGGTCGCAATGACTAAATGACCAAGCAATCGATGTTTTCTCATAATCAAACATTAACAATTTTGGAACATTTGTTTGCATTAACATTTTTTTTTACAAGGTTGGTTGTGTCTGTTACATTTCATAAGCACTTCCAGCTCGTTTCAAGTCATGACTGAATTTATTATAAAAACTCAAGAAAAATTATGTTCCTAACATACAAGTCATACTTTTAAGATGTGACATTTGCAAATGCATTTTGTGCAATTAGTTAAAAAATGTATAAGAACTACACGTTTTCTACTCTATTTTTTGTGCATTAACAAACATATCCAGGAAAATTTGAATAATGATGCTAACCAAATATTTTTCGATGATGATTGATTGGTTGTAATGAACCAATCATCAGTTAAGAGATTCTAACCAATGCCCAACACTATTAGGAAACATAACTAAGCTTCTACCATTTTATCATATAAAACATACCAAGTGTCTGACAGGTCTTCTTTTTGTTAAATATAGTAAGTAAATGGAAACGATGTCTTACATAGGGATGTCATGATACATAAGTTTCATGAATCGATATGTAACCTGATACCCATGTCATGATTCAATACATAATACAATACCCATTTTCGCGGCATTATTGCTTAAATTTAGTAACATTTTGAACATTAATGTTGAAAAATTGTCCATGAAAAGATCAACATGTTTGATTCTTAGAGATAAAAGTTCCTAATTTCCCATCTATGTGCATGAAATATAATCTTTATAACCCTCATAACATCAAGAAACATGATACAATTGATAAATGTAAATATTTATGATATTTAAAGCAATATTTTAAACATAAATATCAATACAATTGTCAATGTATCGATAATTGTATTGCCTTAGAAAAGTATCGATGCATTGATGTATCAATGTGTCATGGCATCCCAAGTCATACACCTTACTACTTCATATGATGTACCTAATATTGTACCTCATCTTCAGTAAAAGCTATGTTCATATATAAAATGTACCTACTATTAATTAAGAAGAACAGAACCACAATTAATATTTTGTTTGAAAAAACCTCTTCAAGAATTATTAAATAAACTGTGTTCTTCAAACAGTGTCATTTGGTATTTTGTTTGTTTATACAGTGGAAGTTATGTTATTACAGTTGCTCTATGAAGTTATACCATTTTCAAACGCAATGCTGATTCTGCTGTCTCTGAAGATGCGACTATCATGGACACTCCCTGGCCACTTTGCAACACAGTTGATGAATTTGTATCTCGCATCACATATCATCTGAAAAGTGATTGAAATACTATGTCAGCTTAATATAACAATTATTATTTGAAATCAGTAGGTCATTGGTCTTGACTCTTTTGGATTTACATTTGAGCATAAAAGTGACGGAGTTTAGTTTTATGCCAGCGCTTTTTAGCAATATTCGAGCAATATCATGGCAGGGGACAACAGAATTGGGCTTCACACATTCTACCAATGTGGTGAGGAATAGGGCAAAATTCAAATTTGACTTAAGAAGAATTGATATGGTGATATGGTGATTTGGTGGTAACAGCATAGGTAATGAAATATGTTTTTTTTAAAGCTGAAAATAATTTCATGCATTGTACATGAGAAAAGTGGTGATTAGTAAACATAAACATATTACCTGAACATTGAGTGAATGAAAGCCTTTCCTGTTCAAATAGTCTGCTTCATTCTCAGATGGTGCCATTAAACGGATGAATGTTCCATCCACACATCCCAGAACATTGGGAATCCTGAAAAGTACATTTTGCATAATTCACATTTTTGATAAATTCATATATTATACAATTAGTATATAGACATTATTGTATCATTAAGTTTTGGGTGTTTTTTAAAAAGTACATCAAGGAATATTTCTGGTTCTTTTCAAGTTTATAAAAATATATTTTTATCATATCGTATGGGATATGTCTCTAAAGTTTAATTTTTTCCGACATTGTAATATCGTTATGTCAGTGGGTCTTACGGGAATTTTAATACGAGTCTCTTCATTTATGCATGATTACATATCGGTTCATCGAAACTAGAAATGACAAGATTGAGAGTAGCCCCCTTTATTTGACCTAGAATGAGCTTTGCTACGAAAGGAAGGTAAAAGCAATCAAATATACTCACCTGCAATTTGAAAGAACTGTTTCTTGGTCATGTCGGCATCTTGTCCGCTTGGCATACGTATGAAATGCCGGAGATGTTCAATGAGACAAGAGCATACATCCCCTGACTGACCGAAACACAGATGAGGTGGAGATGGTCGCTTATACGTATCGGCGATTAATGAATAAAAAGACCCAGTGGCCAAGAAACGCAGGTGACTAGAACTTGCGTTAAGACAGGTAGTGGGTTGCTTCGGTTTGAACACCGTTCGAGTTTCCCACAAACAAGTGAAACAATAAATAAAAATACTCTCAGCACGGAAACGGAACCGCAGAAAGAGCTCCTCTTGTGACATAACCTCGAGAGGGTTCTGTCTGTCAACTAATGATCTACTCAAAGTGGATTTACGTTTCACTCTACGGCGTCTACGTCTATTTATCAGCGCCATTTTGTGATCACCAAAAACTTAAGTCACCTCCTACCAAACTCAAATTGTCAACTCAGTTTGAGTCCAAAATCGAACTCAGTTTTTAGTTTGAGAAATGCATTTTGCTGAGTTTTCTCAAATTTGAGTAAAAACTCAGACTTAAGTCTGAAAACAGACTTAAGTTTGTTTCGAAAATCAGGGCCAGGTTTCTCGAAAAAACTTAAGTCTGAGTTTTGACTTAAGTTCGAGTTTTCTTACTCAAATCTGAAAAACGCAGGAAATACATTCCACAGAATGAATTGAAATTGGTATTAAACTCAAACTATAGAAGACAATTTGAGTTTGGTGGGTAGATTACTTATGTTGTTTGGGCTTTTATATTTTGAAAATGCATTTGAGTTATAAATTCAGCTGTTTCAAATTGTGAAACTCAGTTTCAGATTTGAGTAAAAACTTAAGTTTGTTTCGAGAAATCCAGGCCAGGTCACATTGCTGTCTAATATCTGAGGGCTTTTTTTTTTTGAGAGTGGAGAAACTAGTTTAAACTAGTAACCACTGTGTTGATGTGAAACTGTTCTTTTCCTTGTTTCATTTGTGCCAGATATTATTATATTTTGTCATGGTTAAAGGTTTTTTTTATTCAAGCTTAATCAAGCATAGTGACGATTATAAGCAGGGTTTTTTTTGTCAAAAAAAACCTTCTTGCAATATATTGCAATACATATCGCAATATATGCTTTCGCATCACAATATATCGCAATGAGAGAATTCTCTGCAATACCCACTCCTACTCCTATCCCCCACCACATGAAGTCAGCCGTCTAACCAACCCAGCCATCGCGGCATCCACACACTTGGAAGTCGGACAACTGGTAGTCTGGAAACCTCATCATTGATTCGTTGACGAGTTGAAGGATGAACTCAAACGTGTCAGAAGATCTGTTAAAGATGTTAGCGGATGGACTTTGGAACATGTGGGAAGATCTTTGATTACCGGTACTCAAAGGTGAAACGGTCTGCAAACAAAGACTATCATGATTATTCTGCTTTTTGATATGTTGATTTACACCAGACGGAATTGCAACCAGCCGCGCCCATTCCATTGAGAAACAACATTCTGCCAGCAGACGTAGCCTATTTCATTCTTGATTTATGGCAATAGAAACACAAGAGTAATTGCCAATAACATATCACATTTGCAATTTCATTTTGAAGATATAAGCTCTCATCGATCAGAACAACACAATCGTAAGCAGATCAATATTACTTCGTCCGATTTCACGCTAGCTCCATCATTCCAAAGTCACTTGTCCTGTCACGGGAATGCATTCACTACTTCCGGTCCATGGGCAATCTTGATCAGGCAACTTCCGGCCAGTAATCAGTCCATTACCAACCAGACTCCTACACAGCCACGAAATGAGGCGGTGATCATAGACAGATTGATGCATTTCTTGGACGCTTG